AAAATCCCAACTTGTGAGAACTTGCACTGAAATAGCTACAGAGTGTTAATATCTTTTAAACTGCAAGTGTATCTACAATTTTTGACCTGATAATAAGCACTCATGCAAATCAAAACAATACTTCAAACGTATTACATGTATTATGTCATAATGGAGGTATTCCATTCTACCGTAAAGAAAATTGCCAAATTTGCATCTCGCTTTCAATTCCATTGATACCGTATGATTGACATTATCGTGACATAATTAGTTCCTTTTTCCTGATGTACTTTGTAAGAAATGAGATAAGCAGATTTTATAGGTGTGTTGTACTAATACTTGTCAATGACATTTACAGAATCATGTATTATTTCATCTGACATTTGTAAGGTACGTGTTAACTAAAACTGTGTGATAGAAAATCTTTGATAACAACTTTATAAATAAGGCCATTTCCTTTGTAAATTTTAGAACAATTGCAAGCAACTAAAAAAATTTGTCCAAAGGAAATGAAAAGAATGTACCTTGTTTCTTCAGTTCAGGCTAGTGGTCAAATATGATGGAGTGAAAGAGTAAAAAAAGATAGCCTAATTGTATTTTTTTTCTAAATACAGAGCTAATATCTTTCTAAGAGTTGTTGGCCATGTTGGCTTTTGTAACATCATATGTAGATTAATTCTTTCTCTCTAACTGATAAATAATGTCTTATTTTTCAAGTTCATTTTCTCTTGATATATACGTATAGTAAATTTATATGTTATTTTTCCATATTACATAGAGAGCCCAATCTCTGATCTAAAACATATGGAATTATATAATGATAGAACTGTTTCTGAAGATTACAAAACATGTTTCATTTTTTGGATCAAGGTGTGCCCTCATATCTTGTTATTTCACTGAAAGTATACTCATATATTTACATTTCCAATGTCTTGGTCCGAGTTAAAATTACAATTAGAAAACTTACTTTATTTCTATATAAATCTACTGGTTCATGGATAGGCATGGTTAAAAAAAATCAAGAGCAGGGCGGGAAAAATAGAAACAGAAGAGGGGCTTAGAGCACATGGATTTGCGCAGTCAAGAGCATGTAAATACTGTGGTTTCATCTATATTCGTTGAGCATAAATTTTCAAGGATTTCATTGTTAAGCAGATCCACGAATTTAAATGTCCATTGAATTAAGAAATATGTTAGTCATTTGTATAAGCAATGCTTTTGTCCACGAAATTTCGTATCCTCGAAAATGTCTGTTTTACAAAATACACAATAATTGATGCCAACGTTAAGAAACCACAGTATAAGGAATAACTGTCAGATTTTTTGGTTTCATGATGATGATCAATCGATTGGTTAGCGTGATAATTTTATGCATAAATGCCTTTGGCGTTTTATGCAAATTTTCAAGCAAACCACTCAATTGATCACATCATGAAACCAAAAAATTAGTCAGTTTTTCCTTAAATAAGTGTTTTCTTTAAAATTTAAGAGCATTGCAATTTCAAGAAGCCTATTTTCAGAAAAAGTTAAAGATTAAATCACCAGTTCTCTACTTTATATTATTGATATTGGGAATAAGACATGTGGTGTTAGTTTCTTATTTCTGGACAAAAAGGTATGGCCACAGTTGATTTTTTTGATAATTAGGTCTTTTAATTTAGGATCATGAAGTCACAAAATGATCTTTCTGAACATGTTTTCACAAGTAATATATGTGTGAAATATGAATGCCCCTTATCTCATTAAAAAGTTATATCTATGCTGTGTTAAAATTTATAAAAAGTATGTCAAAACTTCAAGGTCAAGGTCACTGACAAAAAAAATCATAAATTTGGATTTTCTGACAGCATAGATAGGAGAAACATGAAAACTTTATCTTTTCTCCTTGAAAAGTTGTGAACAAGGATAGGGATTTCATAAAAGAAAGTATGAAAGATAGACAAACTGACACCCCCCCCCCCAAAAAAAAATTGAATATCCCCTCTCTTTTCCAAAAAATAAGGGGACAAAAATCACATTACCTGTAGCCAATCAATCCATCTGTGGGAAGTATGGTACTTGTATGTAAAAATTGCTCTCTATATATTTACATTAAACGGAGATAATTTCATGAAAATTCATCAACATTTTATAAAGAACGACTAAAACACTTAAGCAAATTTTCTAATTCCTACGATAATTATAAAAGTTTGTGTGAAGTAATAAATATGCATATGTCTATCGACCCGGAGCAGCCTCGCTACGTCATTTAACGTTACGTTAGCCGTAGATTGTTTCGCATGTGAAAGGATCGGGAAGAGTTTTTAAAATACTCTTCCTTCTTTGTTATTACATATATAACGTTACAAAAATCAAACAGTCTCTTTTCTTAAATTATTCTTTAAATGTATGTTGTTGTTACCCCAGTAAAAAAATTTTTATTTATGGGAAAGGATGTCTTAGAATCATGCAGTGCCAATTTATGCAACGCGGGTTAAATACTGTAACGATATCAATACTGTATGTAATAACTCATGGCCGTCCAGATCTTTTAATTTTACTCTAGTTAAATTAATTGTTTTAAAAAATGTATACCAATGAAATAACAAACCCTAACACATAATTTTTTTTTCTTTAGTTGTTATTGTTTTAGCAGGTCGTTCAGTTCTGCATTGCGCTACACAAAATTTTAGGTATGCTGGCTGCTCCGCCCTTGACGCAAAAATCCATTTTTTCGTTGTTAGCAGATTTCTCTACCGCGCTTAATTCTTTTATGATCTCCGTATTTCTGATCAAAATTCTATCAAATTTGCACATCATGAATTTACACCAAAGCTGAAAAATTATACACTTAAACTGAATAATTTTCGCACTCATTACGGATCCACGAAGAGTTAGATTTTTGGGGTTACATATTTTCAATATCTGATTCCGCGACTGCTCCGGGTACCCCTACTATTGACACATTTATATATAATTGTAGAGAAAATATTTAATATTTGTGAAATATTTCTTGCTCTTATTAATTTTTAGTGTATGTCAAGCGTATATGCCAATTTTCAATGAAAGACGTTCATTAGAAAGCAAAATAAACACAATGTCTCAATAATTTTCGAACAACCCTCGTATTTTTAAAAATGCTTTTAAATTAAATAAATTTGAATAAAGTTTTTAAATTTTCTAACAGATCTAAAGGGTGTTAAGAAAATTCGTTCCACCTTTTTCTTTTATTTTGGAAAAGAAAGACAATGAGAAGATATTTACAATTTGTGATATTTCATGTTTACAGATTCAATTCTTACTAGTGATAAGGTTTTAACTTTCTTTTGTTGAATCAATAAGGGGAGGGTGGGTATTAAAACAGATGATGCCTGTTCAGAAAAATTAGGGATATGACGCATATTTGTGACATATATTAAGTACAGAGGTCAAAATATCCTTTTGAATACTATGCAAAAATTATAAAATCTGTGAAAATTTTCAAAATGACAAACCTTTTCTTTTGAAAAGTGATCTATAGCAGGGGCGGATCCAGAAGTTCATGTGGGGGGGGGGGGGTTTGAGGCCCAAAGGACTGAAGGGGGAGGGCATGGGAGGGGGTGTCCCCCTCCCATAGGTGGGGGTTCGAGAAAATTTTGTTTTAATGGTTCTAAATGGTGCATTTTCCAGCATTCTTTTGTACTTTTTGTAGCTTTTTTTAAAGACCAATCATCACAAATTTTTAAGAATCCAGAAAAATAAAATGTTTCAATTTGATTTAACTTTAACACAAGACTTTAGACCTTGTTTTAAAAAATGGAGTGGGGGGGGGGGGGACCCGAAAAAATTGTTTTAAATAGTTCTAAAATGGTGCATTTTCCAGCATTTCTGGTACTTTTTGTAGCTTTTTTAAAGACCAATCATCACAAATATTTAAGAAGTTAGATAAATAAAATGTTTCAAATTACATGTAATTTAACTTTAACACAAGACTTTAGACTTTGCTTTAAAAAATTGTTACATCTGACAATTTTAGGAATGTAAGCAGTTGACTTCAAGCTGTCTTTTAAATGCATTTTCAATTAATTTAGTCAAGCTGAATTCTAAGATACAACTGATGTGCAATTTTAAACACTTTCAAAAAATCAAACATTGGATTCTTTTCAGAATTCCTAATTAGTGCTTTTCAATTTACTTGAGTATACTGTCAATATGATGTAAAAAAAAATGTATTAATTTAATTTTTAAAACGGTAAATAAAAAACCCTATATATAATAGTTTATTCAAATAGTTAATAAAAAAAAAACATGCATTTTATCAGCAAGGGAATATTACTGAGCAGCACCGTAACTGTGCAGTTTTCTGTTGTTCATACTTGACTACATTGTACTGCACGATGATCTTGTGACTTCACTAGATTCACGGATTACCCCTCTCTCTGTTGATTACCTGTGTATTGTGTGCGTTCAAGCGGAAAGTGATTTCCTGTTACGTGGCTGAAGTATATTTCACAGTTGTACAGAACAATGGATTCGTGTATATTAGAGTCTTATCAATGCAACAAAATGATAAAATGACAACTTGTAAAAAAAAAAAAAAATTCAATGAGCGGGGGGGTTTTCCCGAACCCCCCCAAACCCCCCTGAATCTGCCCTTGTATAGTTCTTATACCTATGCTCATCAGCTTGTCTGATGCAAGATAAGCTATGAAGAAACAAAAATAGATTATCCTTTATTATCACTCAAAATGACAAGCATTTCTAACATTCGGGTGCTTTAAAGATGTTATATATATTTTCACATGAAAGACAAATCCTATAATTTCCTGCAATAAATGAATTGCTATAAATCTAAAGCACACTCTTGTGATTTTGTCAGACTAGAAAATTCATCTCTTTAGTTAAGCACTACTTTGAAATTTTTGAAAATATTTTATCCTGGAACGAACTTTCTTAACACCCCTTAGATATTGCAATCTAAATTCCTAATTATTTATTTAGCTATGGGCTACAAAATCTACTGTGATCTTTGTTTTCCTTTATTGTCAAACATGAAGACTAACCTTTGGTACAGGTTGAATACTGTAAATATTGTTTTTAAACTTCTTGTTCCATGAATCCACCAGTGAGGGGGATATGGTCCGATTGCCATTTTTCTGGTGATTGAGGTAACACTCTGCAAAGAACCTGTTGGCAGCTGTCAGATTTGGGTCAGCTATGTATTCATCAACCTGGAATCAGTAAAAATAGGTACATGTTCACTGAAGTAAATAAATCAATCAGGGTCAGCTAAGTATTCAACAGTCTGGAATCAGTCAAAATAAGTGTGTAGGTACTGAAGTATGTACTGTTAGGTCAGTCACAAGTTTGTACATCTACAAAAGAGCCTTCCTAGTACCAGGTATTTGATTTGGATCTAGATTATGTTGTTTTGATAAATTATACAAAAAGTAGGGAGGTGAAGTATACTACAATCTCACTATACGTTACTATCACAATATAAACTACAGATATCCCATTATAGGTAAAGCCTTGACATACACATGTAAACCTATAGATAACCATTTACAGTAAAGTCAACTCACAGATATCCATTTACATTCTGCGATTTCCTGAGGACAATGTTTGATTTCCGTGGTAACTGCTTTCATCAGACAGACAAAGTACCAGTCAGAGCAACCAAAGCGGAAGTTGTGCTGATGACGGAAGCCAAGCACGGACACAAACTCGGCCTGGATCCCCGTCTCCTCCAGGACCTCCCTTCTGGACGTCTCCGCCAAATCCTCCCCTGACAACGAATCAAAGATCCAGTCAGGAAGCTATTATTTAACAATAAATTTAATAGATACTCAAGTTTTATTGTATAACCTGAGTTGTTTAGATTTTACACTTTATATAACAGAGCATGATTTCTGAAAAAGAGTTAGGTGTTCCAACCAAGGTTATAGTAGTTTAACTTGTGTAGCTATTAAATTCATTTCTGACTTATAAATAAATGTTCCATCCTTAATAAAACAAATCGACATTCGAATTTTTTTTAATGCATTAAAAAACAAATTGTAAAACAGTTTCCTTTTTATATATTATTTTCAAAATATTTTAAAGTGCTTTTGTGCATAAATTAACTTTAAAATATAGTTATTTAAACTTCAAAAATGGATTTAAACAATTTAATTATTCATTTTAATTTTCATGATCTATCAAAAATGGTATTCACAGTTTTCTCACAATTAATTACATAGAAGCAGCTAAATAAGATTAATCTTAGGTACTATTAAAAATTTTTGAACTTCTGCCATGAGGAAAGGGAAGTAATTCAAACAACATGCTGTAGAGATCCCAGCCATGTACCTTTATCAGCGAGTCGTCCGGGTAATTTCCACAGCTGGGAACTTCATGATACTGTACCTTTATCAGCGAGTCCTCCGGGTAACTTCAACGGCTGGGACTTCATGATACTGTACCTTTATCAGCGAGTCCTCCGGGTAACTTCCACGGCTGGGACTTCATGATACTGTACCTTTATCAGCCAGTCCTCCAGGTAACTTCCAAGGCTTGGACCTGATTACACTGTACCTCTCTCTGATCACCAACAGCTCCCCCTCCTCATTCAGGACAAACCCCGCCACACCTGGAAAATAGGCAAGAAAATATCTCAACTATATAACATTCTTAGCTTTTCTTTAAACTTCAACATCTTGAATATACAGCCAGATCACATTTTATAAAAGGAATAAAATCCTCTTCTTACAGTTGGAATTTTAAAATACATGTACATGCATGGATAAAGGGGAGGATTATTTTTTGTATGCTTAATACAAGGACTGTCTTGGTTTGAGAATAATCGCAAGACCTTTTGACAGGCAAAATGTGAGTTTCTTTACTGTTTAACCTGCATTCCACAACTCCTTATTTCAAAACCTACTGAAATCTCATGATTACAACGACAAAAACTAGTTAGTAAGCATGTACTTTATCAACAGTCATTGTACTTATTGTCAAATGACAATAATTTTTTAAAATTCCAATTTCTTTTTCTCTGGAATAGATGCTAACAAAACTAGAGTGTGTGGGGTTTATGTTTTGAAAAGTTAAAAAACTTCTACTCCTTTGGTCTTTACCAGCTTACCTAAGTACTGATTTGCGTATTCAGGTAGTTTGTTCTCTTCATTGTCTGGCAGCCATTTTGTCATCATTACATAGCCTGACTGAGCATGATTGAAATCAAAACCTAACTGAAATAGACAAAAAGAAATACTATTACCTATGGATATTCAAAATAAGAGTTAAAAATAGTACTATAGGTACCTCTGGTGGTTGTTCATTTGAAGTAAACTGTGACTGAAACATATAAATAATGCTTTGATTTTAAGACCAAACAAAAAGAACAATCAATGCAATATTTTTGTGAACAAAATTTGATCTCTTTAGCTTAATTGCGCTAGAGGGCTATAATTCTCACTTAAGATAGAGGTTTATAATTCTTACTTAAGTATAGGGCTGTAATTCTCACTTAAGGTAGAGGGCTATAATTCTCACTTAAGGTAGAGGGCTATAATTCTCACTAATGGTAGAGGGCTATAATTCTCACTTAAAGTAGAGGGCTATAATTCTCACTTATGGTAGAGGGCTATAATTATCACTTATGGTAAAGGCCTATTATTCTCACTTATGGTAGAGGGCTATAATTCTCACTTATGGTAGAGGGCTATAATTCTCACTTATGGTAAAGGGCTATAATTCTCACTTATGGTAGAGGGCAATAATTCTCACTTATGGTAAAGGGCTATAATTCTCACTTATGGTAGAGGGCTATAATTCTCACTTATGGTAGAGGGCTATAATTATCACTGTAGAGGGCTATAATTATCACTTAAGGTAGAGGGCTATAATTATCACTTATGGTAAAGGGCTATAATTCTCACTTATGGTAGAGGGCTATAATTCTCACTTATGGTAGAGGGCTATAATTCTCACTAATGGTAGAGGGCTATAATTCTCACTTATGGTAGAGGGCTATAATTCTCACTTACGGTAGAGGGCTATAATTCTCACTGTAGAGGGCTATAATTCTCACTTAAGGTAGAGGGCTATAATTCTCACTTATGGTAGAGGGCTATAATTCTCACTTATGGTAGAGGCCTATAATTCTCACTTATGGTAGAGGGCTATAATTCTCACTTATGGTAGAGGGCTATAATTCTCACTGTAGAGGGCTATAATTATCACTTAAGGTAGAGGGCTATAATTATCACTTATGGTAAAGGGCTATAATTCTCACTTACGGTAGAGGGCTATAATTCTCACTGTAGAGGGCTATAATTATCACTTAAGGTAGAGGGCTATAATTCTCACTTATGGTAGAGGGCTATAATTCTCACTTATGGTAGAGGGCTATAATTCTCACTTATGGTAGAGGGCTATAATTCTCACTTATGGTAGAGGGCTATAATTCTCACTGTAGAGGGCTATAATTATCACTTAAGGTAGAGGGCTATAATTATCACTTATGGTAAAGGGCTATAATTCTCACTTATGGTAGAGGGCTATAATTATCACTTATGGTAGAGGGCTATAATAATCACTTATGGTAGAGGGCTATAATTATCACTTATGGTAGGGGGCTATAATTCTCACTTAAAGTAGAGGGCTACAATTCTCACTTAAAGGCCGAGATTTTTAACCGTACGGTTTTCTCAGGTAAGGGGAGGGACTAAATTTTACATGCTTGGCACCTCGAGGCATTGACGGTCGTGCAGACCGTGGGAAGCTCTAATCCCTATACACAAACAGTATACACAGGAAGTCAATGAGTATTACCTGTACAGCTTGCTGGCCTACTGGTCATCATAAACTTAGTAGATCTCGACATCGTAAATAAAAATGTCATTAATCATGTTAATAATAAATGATATTTGCAAAATTCCATAATTTTCAGACTTATATCTAATATATCAAGCAGAAATTCCATCGGCCGACTTTTGTAGAAATCTACGGTATGTACCTTACATTGAACGTCACAGCAGCAATAAGTTGAGTTCATTGTAAAAAAAAAAAAATAATGAAATGCAGGTACAATTTAAAATGTAAAATATCCATCCTTGCCAGTCCCTTTCTATATTTAAAGAATTTTTTATAATTATCGTAAATATAGTAGCATAGAGCTTCGATCACAGTCAATAGTAACAGTTACTTCCCATTTGTATGAAAAGTCGCATGGTCCTATTTTTAGCAAAGGTGTCCTATTGTGAAAAATTCCCGATAACGATGGTTTCAAGAAGTTAAAATTATATACAAGTGTGTGTGAATTTGAAGTTAATGTAAATTATAATTGAACTAACTAAAAACGAAATATTAAGTTATTGCTGACTTATCAATATGTATTTCTTTCGAAACTATTTCTAACACCTGTGACCTTGAACGGAGGTAACAAACCACGTAGTAAGAAATGCGCGGTTATAAAAAATGAAAATAAGAGAGAAAGTCTTAATACTTGTCCAGGCTAAGTTGTTTCTAATAAGGCATTTTGCTTTCATCCTTACTATTCATTACCAGCTTAGATCTATATAATTTTTATCCTTTATTTTTATCGCGTCTCTGAACAAGATATTTTACGAGTGAAGACAAGATTGCACTTTTCATTAATAAAATAATTATACCCAATCTTGATTTATTTTATTTAAACAGTACGAGAAATTTTTCATTTTTTTTTTCAATGACATGTTTTCAATTCAGATAATTATAATCAAGCTAAAATGGGCATTGGCTTCCTAATTGTGCTGGTAATTTAGCGGTAAACATCAGAAGACCGAAAGTTAATTCGATGGTGGCCACGAGTGTCAAGCAAGGTGAAAGAGTTATACACAGGGACTAGTAGCTAAATGTCAATCAATTTTAAGTACCCAATGATGGACCTTAATTCATTTGATTGACAGGGGAATACAGACCAGGTAAATATGAAGGCGGTGCTTATTATCTCGGGCTTTAAGGTAGTGGGCTATGATTCTCACCTATTGTAGAGAACTATAATTTTCACTTAATAAGGTAGAGGACTATATTCCATTTAAAGGTATAATTTTATATTCAACTACAAAACATTGAATTTTCTGTTTATTACATTTTTAAAAAAAATCTTTGATTTTTCCTTTGCCTCTGTCTTTTTGTAATACAGTCATAGGCTACATGACGTCATAGTTGAGCGGTTGAGACGTCATAGCTAAGTGAGGTGAAAACACTGTAAACATGGATTTGGCAACATATTTTTGGTAATTCTGACAGTTTTATTCGCTGCCAGAATGATTTGTTTATTTCCATCTATCTTATATTAGGTCTAGGAAGATCTTTTTTTTACAATAATCTTCGTTATGGGAAGGGAAATCGAGAGATTTCCCGCATTTCTGATGTTCGTCACACTGTGACAGGATATCATTTTGATATCCTTTCACACTGTGACAGGATATCATTTTTATTCAATGAATAAATTGCAGTATTTCACGGGTAAAAATGTAAAGCTATAATTCTCTCTTAAAGTAGAAGGCTATAATTCTCACTCATGGTGGAGGGCTATAATTCTCACTTATAGTAGAGGGCTATGATTCTCATTTAAGGTAGAGGGCTATAATTCTCACTTATGGTAGAGGGCTATAATTCTCACTTATGGTAGAGGGCTATAATTCTCACTTATGGTAGAGGGCTATAATTCTCACATTAGGTAGAGGGCTATAATTCTCACTTATGGTAGAGGGCTATAATTCTCACTTAAAGTAGAGGGCTATAATTCTCACTTATGGTAGAGGGCTATAATTCTCACTTATGGTAGAGGGCTATAATTCTCACTGAAGGTAGAGGGCTATAATTCTAACTGTAGAGGGCTATAATTCTCATTTAAGGAGAGGGCCATAATTATCACTTATGGTAGAGGGCCATAATTCTCACTTAAGGTAGAGGGCAATAATTCTCACTTATGGTAGAGGGCTATAATTCTCACTTAAGGTAGAGGGCTATAATTCTCACTTATGGTAGAGGGCTATAATTCTCACATTAGGTAGAGGGCTATAATTCTCACTGAAGGTAGAGGGCTATAATTCTAACTGTAGAGGGCTATAATTCTCATTTAAGGAGAGGGCCATAATTATCACTTATGGTAGAGGGCTATAATTCTCACTTAAGGTAGAGGGCAATAATTCTCACTTATGGTAGAGGGCTATAATTCTCACTTATGGTAGAGGGCTATAATTCTCACTTATGGTAGAGGGCTATAATTCTCACTTATGGTAGAGGGCTATAATTCTCACTTATGGTAGAGGGCTATAATTCTCACTGTAGAGGGCTATAATTCTCATTTAAGGAGAGGGCCATAATTATCACTTATGGTAGAGGGCCATAATTCTCACTTAATGTAGAGGGCAATAATTCTCACTTATAGTAGAGGGCTATAATTCTCACTTATGGTAGAGGGCCATAATTCTCACTTAAGGTAGAGGGCAATAATTCTCACTTAAGGTAGAGGGCTATAATTCTCACTTATGGTAGAGAGCTATAATTCTCACTTAAGGTAGAGGGCTATAATTCTCACTTATGGTAGAGGGCTATAATTCTCACTTAAGGTAGAGGGCTATAATTCTCACTTATGGTAGAGGGCTATAATTCTCACGTAAGGTAGAGGGCTATAATTCTCACTTATGGTAGAGGGCTATAATTCTCATTTATGGTAGAGGGCTATAATTCTCACTTAAGGTAGAGGGATATAATTCTCACTTAAGGTAGAGGGCTATAATTCTCACTTAAGGTAGAGGGCTATAATTCTCACTTATGGTAGAGGGCTATAATTCTCACCTATGGTAGAGGGCTATAATTCTCACTTATAGTAGAGGGCTATAATTCTCACTTATGGTAGAGGGCTATAATTCTCACTTAAAGTAGAGGGCTATAATTCTCACTAAGAAGAGGTCTATAATTCTCACTGTAGAGGGCTATAATTCTCACTTATGGTAGAGGGCTATAATTCTCACTTATGGTAGAGGGCTATAATTCTCACTTATGGTAGAGGGCTATAATTCTCACTTATGGTAGAGGGCTATAATTCTCACTTATGGTAGAGGGCTATAATTCTCACTTAAAGTAGAGGGCTATAATTCTCACTTAAGGTAGAGGGCTATAATTCTCACTTAAGGTAGAGGGCTATAATTCTCACTTAAGGTAGAGGGCTATAATTCTCACTTATGGTAGAGGGCTATAATTCTCACTTATGGTAGAGGGCTATAATTCTCATTTAAGGTAGAGGGCTATAATTCTCACTTAAAGTAGAGGGCTATAATTCTCATTGTAGAGGTCTATAATTCTCACTTATGGTAGAGGGCTATAATTATCACTTATGGTAAAGGGCTATAATTCTCACTTATGGTAGAGAGCTATAATTCTCACTTATGGTAGAGGGCTATAATTCTCACTTATGGTAGAGGGCTATCATTCTCACTTATGGTAGAGGGCTATAATTCTCACTTAAAGTAGAGGGCTATAATTCTCACTTATGGTAGAGGGCTATAATTCTCACTTATGGTAGAGGGCTATAATTCTCACTTAAAGCAGAGGGCTATAATTCTCACTTATGGTAGAGGGCTATAATTCTCACTTATGGTAGAGGGCTATAATTATCACTTATGGTAGAGGGCTATAATTATCACTTAAAGTAGAGGGCTATAATTATCACTTATGGTAGAGGGCTATGATTCTCACCTATTGTAGAGAACTATAATTTTCACTTAATAAGGTAGAGGGCTATGTTCCCTTTAAAGGTATTTTTTTTCTTGGTGACATAACCTTACCTTGCTACAGACTGGTACAGCAGAGGAATGAGGAAGGTGAATCTTCATCCATAACCCACGGATTCCCTCCTGTTTCCATTTTGGAATGGCATCTGATGGTCAGAAAATGAACCAAGGGAATTAACAAGAGGCCCTAGGGCCACAATGATCACCTAGTCTTATATTTCTGTGTATAATTTTGTAAACCTTCTGAGGCTTTGTCATACCCAAAGGTTTCAAACTAGCATAAGCTCAGTTTGTAGCTTATTCTTGCCCTGGGAACTATGATATGAACAAATTAAACCCTGTACACTATAAAGGAAACAAGATTCCCAATTCTTTAATTAATCATTAAGCTGAAAATACTAGAAACCTTTCATCGAAGGATGCTCTGTGTCTAGTTTTAATTAAATTATCTGATCAGCTCTGGATAAGAATTCAAAACAATATGAAAATTTTACAGACAGAACACATGAGACACACTTTGGTAGAAAAGTTCACCTAATCTATGGCTCAGGTGAGCAAAGTAATTCAATGAATAGTCAGAATGTTTCCATTTACCTGCAAGTCTCTGTTCTAAAGATTCTTCTATGTTAAAAGGCTGATCATTTGTGTCAATGGTTAGTCCATCAAACCTGTTAAAATCCATATTAAAATATTTATTTTGCAGTCAGAAATCAATCAAAATATCTAACTTTTTTGAAAAAAAGTTTTTCCAATATTTTTTCCAGTTTAAGTACGTTATTTACAAATGAATGATCTCCAATATGTTATACAGTGTATAACACTTGCACCTGTCTATTTCCTGGTACTATATTTGCTGCTGTCTAAATTCTAGCAGCATTGTTTTTTTTTTGGTATAAATTGTTGCTTAAAGAAATGATGCTACCTGTTACTATGATTGTAGGGTGTGTGTTAAACATACATAAAGGAGTAACAAGACTTAAGGGATAATCACATGTCAGTTACAAATATATTAATGAATTCACAAATCTTAAAAGTCATTTTTGAATATATGAGTGACATTCAATACAAGTGGTACCTAAATGTTGGTTATGAATATGTAAAGCACATTTTATAAGGAATACATATCAGTTATGAATATATAAAGTACATTCAGAAAGGAGCTAGTGCTTACAAATCAGTTACAAATATTTAAAGGGTACTCACATGTCACAGATTACTGTAAATCCCTGAGAATTCTGAGTCATGTTGTCTACATATCAGTCTATAAAAGTAATATAACGGTCAACAAGCTCAATAGAACTTTAATTCTAATAAGGATTTCCATAGAAACCCATTCTTGACTTTGCCTTCTATGAGTAGATTATCTGTTGCAATAATATACTTTCACAATAGATACTTGAATACTCTTCTTTAAAAAGATTTATTTTTATTAATGATAAACACATCTTATAAAAGATATAAACATCCATATTGGTTTGACTGATTCTATTTATAGTTATGGTAATGCATAAGATTAGGACAGATGAGAGAGATAAAATCTCATTATTAGTGTGCATTATTTAATTGTTTTGTCAGCATCTGTGACCTTAATCTCAGAATCACTATTGTCCACTGTCAGTGTTATTTAGGTCTGTGTCAAGGTTAGGGTCAGAGTTCACTATCTTTGAGTAGCCGGCCTCCGTCCTTGAATCCCTGGCCTCCGTCTTTGAGGTGCTTGTCTTCTCGTCTTTCAGAAGTTGGTACTTCTTTCTAGACTTTTGCTTGGCTTTCAGCTTCTTGTCTCTCTTTTCTCTAATCACTTGTGAAGAGTAACTATTTTCTCCATTTATGAAATCATCCACTTTTTCTCTCATTTTTTCTCTAGCAATTTCTTTATTTTTAAGTAGGGATCTGGTTTCATGACACTAAAAATGATACAAATAGAATATTTAATAAAGTTGGAAAAAATGCAAATACTGTAGATCACTTTATTTTTGCAACACAATTTATTTTCATGAGATAGCTATTTGGTATTACTAGCAAGACCAAAGTTTCAAAAGCTATCATTTTTGTTTTATATAATCCTTACTTTAATACAAATATGCAGGAAAGAAATTTTCACAAGCAGACTGTCTACTAGTAGCATAATTAGGCAAAAATAAAGTTACTCCCTTCACATTATACAGTAATTAAACAAGAACTGACCTTGACCATTATGCCCGTGGGTACGTGTTTCAGGACCACACAGTTTGACGTCTTATTGACCGACTGTCCTCCCGGCCCACTCCCTTTGACAATATCCTCCTCTAAATCTGTCTCCAAGACAACTGGAAACTCATAGTTCTTCTTAGAGATTGATGCACACTGCTGAACACACCCTAAATTGTTTTTATCTTTCACAGAATTCAGAGTTTGTCTACAGGCATAGGAGATTTGGTGGTCACCTGCACACAAGTTAATTTTTGATAGGGATGAAATTAAGTGGTGTATTGTTCTTTGTTGATTTCCATTCCTCAGCAAAAAACAGGAAAGTCTGACTGTCATGTTTTCACAAAATAGGAATTGTGTGGGAAAATGATGACTGTATTTCCATACTGAGATATGTCTGAAGAAATGCACCCACATTTTACTAATCTAACTGCACTCTTACAAGTGAAGAAATCTGGCTATACTTACTATAGAATTTAAGATGACTTGTGCTTTATGGAGCTGCAAGAAGAGAAATATAAATTATACTATTAATTATCTTGAAAACATGTTACATTAATATATCCTGAAATATTGCATAGGCCAAAATGGAATCCATTTTGTTGCTGACATGTGTGATAGAGTCATTCAAAATATCAAGTCTCAATAACTCTGTAGCATTAGCATGATATGCCAGAGGACATGGGTTTGGGGTCCCTGTTGAGTCTTGATTTTTCACTACCTTAACAATCACAGGTATATATGTTGTGGAGCAATTTACTTATGTTAACATGCGACTTTCTTATCTTATTAATAATCAAATGTGCAACTTAAATTATCTTAATCAGCTTGCAACTAATAGACTCAAGTATGAAGATCTTGTCACTTTATCAGGATTAAATATTGGTCATAGCGAGGGAACTTTTTTATGAATCCCACAGAAGACTTTCACTATTTCCTACACAGATATAAAGAATTTTACTTATAAGGAAACAAAATTTAAGCTCCCAATGACTTCTTTATAAATGCATGATGACATTTATCTTCATCAGATGTGATACATGTGGCAGCTTATTCTTAATTATTGATATTTCATCAAGATGTTTCTAATTCTTATCCTGGCACATTTTAATTGCAAGTCAATCGATCAGTTGTGATACATTTCAACATATTTATGTTTCATGTTGACACAACTTAAATCAGCTAAATTAGGCACCAATAGTTTCTCAATTAACATAAAACCTTTTCTTTAAATTTAGATCACTGTTGCTCGACACTGTAACAATCTATATGCGATATCTGAATTTCTGATTAGTGACCACCTTTATAGCGTAGAGTGGACAGGTCTTCAATTAAAAGGATCAAGGGAACATGACAGGCCATGCGGCAAGTGGTAGGAAAGGTTATGTAACAGATGTAACTGTAAGATATGGTACGGTAAATGATATTACTGTTTCTATGTTTCCTAAGAATCAGGATACATCAGAATCATAATAAAAATGAAAATACAAATAAAATACCCAGTTGCATTCAGAGAAATCGAATTCCTCTTGTCAAAATATGAAGAAACAAAATGACTTATAGTGTATTCGAATTTCCTCCATGTACCAAATTTTCTAATGAAAATTCTCGAGGAATTCCGAACATTGCTACACGCGAGTATTTGTTTCACGCGAGTACTGTAAACAGAAACTGCTTCCTGTAGTGAATAATTCGAAATATGAGGACGCAAATGTAAAATTAAATTGTAACAATCGAGTTAGAGTTGGCTGTGTATCACAAATCATATTTAATTTGTTGACGTAGATTTGTGAATGTCCACGTTAGGTATATTCGGGACAGAGACTTTAATTCTGCTGCGCCGCCGTCAGTGATTCATGTTTTGACGTGATTCCAATTTTGTGACCAATGTTTTTACGACCGATGTGTGGCAGTAAATTAACGGTGCGTATCGTTAAATACATGTATCATCGATCTAATTGTTTGATTTTAAATACACTCTAAGTTTTTTATGCATTATTTAAACACATATTAATATTGAAGTATTTTTAAAATTTAAAATAAGAAAATATACCCAAAGGAAACCACTATTTTTCTTCTCTTATTTTGTGAACTTAAAACTTTCAAGATTTAAATATTCTTATTCATTTGTATTTACTTATGTTATTTACGTATATATATATTTATTGTTCTGAGTAATATCATGGTATTTAAATTTTGATGTACTTTAGATTTTTAAGCATTGGAATACTTACAATTTTCTAAACATGTGCTTCAGAATGAAGATACGCGTTTAACTGAATCTTTATGCCATGGATGAGAGTGAAGTGAAGTCAAATTGTGCCGCTGAGGATGTTGATCAAAGTGAAGAGGGAAATGGTGAGAATCAGAAGGATGCAGAGGAATCATCAGAGCTGAGGGGTGGTATTGGGTGGAGAGTTCCTGATGAAGAAGACTCCACTGGAAGTCCAGCTCATGAAGAGGCTGATTCCGTAACAAGCAGAGACGGCTCCCAGAAAGTGTTTGAGAGCATGTTCACCGATAGTGATGGAGGAAGCACCATCAAAATGAATGAACAATTGTGAGTATTGAATAAACAAGGAAATTGTGTGGAAGTAAAGTGTATACTGTTGTAAGTCCCCATACAGTAAGAGTTTATTCAGATACATTCTGTGTTTAAAAGCCTTAGCATGGAAATGGCTCTAGTTGACAGATCTTGTATGTTACATTTTTTTCATTTTATGGTAAACTTCAGGAGGGACTGCATTGTTTTTATCAACGCCTTGTTATTTTTCAGTCATTCAGATGCAACACAGACAGGAGAGGAAGAGAGTACACCAGGAGCTCATTCAGCAGAAGGAAAGGAGGACCAAGGACCTACTGACCCCAGCAGGCAAATAACTGTCCGGTCTGATGGTGCTGGTGTGGACAAAGACCAACCTACTGAAACAGAGGGAGAGCTAAGCGACGAAGACAGGATGAGTGACACTAGTGATATTGTAAACAATAATGACATACAACTGAGTCCCAGGGAGATACCACCAGAAGAGCAGGCATCCAGGCTAGAGACAGTGCCATCTTCCAACAAATTTAAGACAGTGGCCAGCTCGGGTAGTTTATTTAGTGAGGATGGGTATCAGACTTTTCCTGGGGCTGATCAGAGTCGGGAACTGTTGAAGCGCGAGGTGTACGGGCAAGAGGATGACAGTGACAGCGAGGCCGTCAGTTCCTGTACAGACACGAGTAATCTGGCCCAGCTCATCGTCGATCATGTGCTAGATAACGTGGTAGGATCAATCCAAGATGAGAGTGATTCTGACACACCCGTGAAAGAACTTTTAGAGAAACTGGAGCATGATGCTGAGATGGAGGAGGAGTTTGATTCCATGGATCAGGGAGGAGAAAATCAGGTTACCGAGGACAAAGAGTACGCATCAAAGATGGAGCTGGAATCGGATCAGAAGCCGGACGAGGACGACATGACTGACTTCCAGCTGGATGAACCACAGCCTGCAGAGGAGGAATTCATTGAGGAGAATGATGGTGAGGTGAAAGATGGAGGTGATGAAGAAAGGGAAAGTAGACAGGAGGAGGACAACACAGTGTTTGACACAAGGGAAGGAGGAGCGTATAAACTGGATCCTCAGTTGTCTTTGGAAAGGAGTGAACCAGAGGCTGTCAAAAGTCCTAAATCAGAGGAGACAATGGAGGATAAGCTTCTAAAAAATGGAAGACAAGTTAGACTCATGAAATCAAAGGACAGTGGAGTTTCAATGAGTTATGCCAGTGAAAGTGACAGAATTTTACAATCTAGGAGTATAGGTGCCACAAGTACAGGCAGTGAAGTAGACAGAGTCAGTGAAACAGTTCCTGATGAGGGTAGGGAACTAGAGAGAGTCTCCTCGGACATGGTACAGGAGTATGACACACAGAGACCCACAGAACAAACAGAGGAGAGAGGAGCAGAGAAACCGTACGAAAACTCATCCTCATTCAAGGAACTTACTCCGGAGGATATCACAAGGGACTCTGTTAAAACTGATGCCTCAGAGAGTGTTGTGTATCCCAAAGACACAGGTAGTCTGGCTTACACAACTGTGTCATCTCCAGGGTACGTGGAACCTTCCTCCATAAACCCAGACCAATCTTCGGTGTCAGTTAGATCCCAGAATGTGGATTCAGTGTCATACGACAGAAACAGTTCACCCGCTAGAGCTGTACAGACGCCTCCAAGAATGGTGCTCAGGACCAAGCAAGAATTCGCTGTCCAAGGAAACCGTCCAGAACGAGATGCAAGTCCAAATTTCAGGCGTCAGCAGAATCAGAGAGAGGCTGAGATGCTCAGGGAACAAATGATATTGGACAAAGTGAGAAAAGACATGGCAGCCAAGGAAAGAGAGATGAGAAGACAGATAGATAGAGAGATGAATGAAAGAATGGAAAGAGCAAGACTTGAACAAGAACTATTATCAACAGGAGGGGAGTACTACAGGAGTGAGAATGACCTATCACACAGTACCCTCGATAGAACCGGTGAACTGGATAGCTCAGAGTCATCAAGGTTAAAGTACACAGACAAAGTGTCATCTAGATCCCCGGTGAATGCTGCGTCAGTCAGCATGTCAGTGAGGGGTTCCTCCGATGTAGGGATGTCTGAGGACGACCTAATTAGAAGGTACCAGAGGGAGCTGTCTCGATCAGAACAGAGAGAGCAGAGGCAGTATGATGTCAGCGGAATAGACACGTACGCGACTCTGCAGAACCCCCGGGGTCAACACGACAGTCTGTCATCTGAAGAGCAGCATCGGTTAGAGGGAATGTCTTATGCAGACATGAGTCGACATGACAGTGCACTCCCAGCAAGCATTTACTCCAGCTATAACATCCCTCCTCCTCAGTATAATGTGTCCACTTCATTTGGAGCTCAAAATTCGAGCCACACTTCATCAGATTTAGAAGCCCCACCCCCTAAATCTGGGTCTGTGCCTCCATTCAAGACACTTCATGAACAGCAGGTATGTGGTCAGCTGCTCATAATAAGATAAACTTCATTTAAAAGTATATTTAATTTATGGATTTAACATTTTTGACATATTCTTAATTATAATTCTTTATTCCTGAAACTCATGATTTTAATGACTAATTGGATTTTAGATGGGTTGGATGAGAATGTTTAAGACTATTGAGGAACAACACCACAATGAATTAAAAAACCAGTATCGACAGCATCAAGAAACCATCTTCTCCATGCAGCATCATTTAGAGAGTGAACTGTTAAACCAGCAACAAATACTCAAACAGAGGCTGTCTGCCCATAAAGAGGCTCTGTCACAGAGTGTGAGTCCAATTAAGCCAAACCAGGATCGGAGACTCGATCACAGTGAACTTACCAATACTAGTCAGATGTTAGAGAGCACCAGGGTAGGGACAGATAACTCTTACAGAAAACCGACCCAGAAATCCTCCCCAAGGTCCAGACCGTTAGATCGCTCCCCTGCTAGGGAGAGGCACTCCACTCCTCCCTGGAAGGAAATCTACAGAGAGATTCGTGGGAAGGGAATCGACAGCGACCGGGAGACGGAAGATAATGAAGAGGAGACAACTCCGATCAGGCGGTCCCTGGAGGAGGAGTTCATGTCTCCGTCGTCCACGATGAGGCAGCCGCTGGGGGAGGAAATCAGACCCCCACCCCGGAAATCTTACAATCCACCCCCCAGTGAGCTTCCCAGGGGTGGGGTGTTCAGCAGTCCCATGCCCATTCTCAGGAAAGCCAATGTGTCTCAGGTAGAACAATATTCTCTGTAGAGGATTCTGTTAGATTAAGATTTAAATTATTTCATGCATGAGGTTATCTGTATTGTGAATACTGTGGAATCTTCATTGTTGATTTGGGATCAATGTTACCCCATATCAAACAATATCTAAGTATTGATTCGTAAATTCTTCTGAATATACAAATTAACCACAAAATGTATTAAATTTTTGATATCCACAAACATTGACCCCTCAAATAAAAAAGGTTTCTGCATTAAATGTGACATAGTACCGGGAATATTGGAATGTTGTACTCAGCTTATGGACTTGTATTTCAGAGTTCATCCAAAAGTAGGAGTCCCAGACAACCTGATAGGAGTTCACCCAGGGTTGCCGTAGGAGACGACCTTTCACACCGAGATGACAGCAGATTATTGGACAGTCGGACACAGGAGAGTTCAGCTGATGCTCCCATAGACAGCTTGACATCAGATGAATTCTCATCTCAAAGGTTAGTACATGTTTGCAATGCTATTGAGTTTGTACATGGACATTGTGTTCAATTACCCATTCTTTCACATTTTGCCAGATAATTTAAGTTCTATGTACAGAAACAATACTGCACGGTTATAGTGAACACACTTTTATTGAATTCAAGCTTTAATCAAAGTGATTTTCAATCTTAAAAATGTATTGAAAACTATTAAACAATACAAAATTGGAGCAGAGCAAACATGGACCTCCAAAACATCAGAGATGGGATCAGGTGCCATGGAGGAGTAAAAAAAAATGGTTTCCTTGTTATAAGCATGGTTTACTATACATGTATATTTTAGCGATGATTAATATTATGACAGCATTGCAAAGTTGAGAGTTGAAAAGAACATTCTTTAATTGATGTGAAACTTTGTTACTTATCTATCAATAACAATAAAAGACAATTAGTTTGAAAAACTTTAATTCTTAAGTTTTGTGCTTTTCTAGATTTTTTTGAAGGTCTGTTATCATTTCAGTTACAGAGCAAATCTTCGAGAGAAACACGCCAAGCACTTGTCAGACCTTAGAGAGTATTATGAACAAGAGATTCTGGAATTACGTGGAGCCTTATCCCGATCTGATGACATCACCAATAGGTCACCATTCAAGCGTGTCGCCAGCGAGAACCAAGCTCTGATTACGGAGAACCACTCACTGAAGCATGCTAACGAAGAAATGGAGAGTCAGCTTAATATACTACTGAGGTTAGCGGTTTGTAACTCTTTATAGTTCTAAGGCTAGCAGAATATAGTGCTCAGATTAGCAGGGTATAGCTCTGTATAGTACTCAGATTAGCAGGGTATAGCTCTGTATAGTACTCAGATTAGCAGGGTATAGCTCTGTATAGTACTCAGATTAGCAGGGTATAGCTCTGTATAGTACTCAGATTAGGAGGGTATAGTTTGTATAGTACTCAGATTAGCGGGGTATAGCTCTGTATAGTACTCAGATTAGCAGGGTATAGCTCTGTATAGTACTCAGATTAGCAGGGTATAGCTCTGTATAGTACTCAGATTAGCAGGGTATAGCTCTGTATAGTACTCAGATTAGCAGGGTATAGCTCTGTATAGTACTCAGATTAGCAGGGTATAGCTCTGTATAGTACTCAGATTAGCAGGGTATAGCTCTGTATAGTACTCAGATTAGGAGGGTATAGCTCTGTATAGTACTCAGATTAGCAGGGTATAGCTCTGTATAGTACTCAGATTAGCAGGGTATAGCTCTGTATAGTACTCAGATTAGCAGGGTATAGCTCTGTATAGTACTCAGATTAGCAGGGTATAGCTCTGTATAGTACTCAGATTAGCAGGGTATAGCTCTGTATAGTACTCAGATTAGCAGGGTATAGCTCTGTATAGTACTCAGATTAGCAGGGTATAGCTCTGTATAGTACTCAGATTAGCAGGCCATTACATGTATACATGTCATTCATTGAAATAATATTAAATTTATTCACAGGGACATAAATGATTAATGTGACAGTTTTCTGAGAATTTGTAAAGTTGATTTAGTATAACTGTTGAAAATGGTTTTGTTTTCAGAGAGAAGAGAGAACTGGAACAAAAGGTTCACGGCCTTGAGAGACGGGCTGTAAGTTATACTAGTATTTAACGAGGCCCGATCTAGTTGAAAATTACGAAAACGGAATGATAAAAAAATTTAATATTTGGAAATATTTTTGTATGTATTATGCTAAGAAAAATTAGAATGAAATTTTATTACCTTACCTTTATTGTAGTCAAATGGGGGCACTGTCAAGATATGGACCATTTTTTGTGTTTTTATACACAATAACATAGTAAAACCCTCCAATAAACAAAGAAAAGTACATGATGGAAATTTTTGTTTTTCACATATATCATGCAATTTTCATTCTTCTTATAAAAAATGAAAAGAAAATTGAAGGTAGCCTTTATTGCAGTGAAAAGGGGGCATATTGAAACACAAAATTAGCACTTATTTTATCCAACTAGACATGAAATAAGTCGCCATGGGTGTACATAACATCAACAAACGATGCAATACTGTATTAGTTTCTAAAAAATAAATAATTGTTACATTCTGAAATAATTTTCTCTTCATGCTTTTTTTTTTTTCTTTATATGCGACGTTGTTATACGTGGAAAAGGGGGGGGGGGGTAAAAGGCGAAAATGACGAATTTTACTAATATCATGTAATATATAGAAAAATAAAATATATCGGGAGTTGCATTTAAATGATTCAAAGACTGATTTTTTTAAATCAAGCATATTTAAGTCCTCAAAAAAAGGTGTGTAATAAAGACTTCAACATGTTCAAGGAGAAAGACTAAAATCGTTTACTTTCGGTTGCAGTGTTTGTTTTTTTAACTCACAAATTGAAATAAAACAATGTAAAATTAATGAATATGTACCAAGAAATTGATACCTGAAAATAAATCATGTTCCAAAGTTGTTTATCAATTAAAAAAAAATATTTTTTTAAAAAACTTGTAAATAATAGAAATACCAGCTTTCAACATGTACAGTCTATAGAGTTACCAGGTATGCAGGATCAGCGAAACATTTTAGCGCAATTTGACGTCATTTTAATTGTGACGTTATTGTGTTCAATTGTGACGGCAGTCAAGGGTACTGTGACGTGCCTGAGTCGACGCTGCGTTAAAACGTATGCGCAGTTCAACTAGATCGGGCCTCGTTAAAATTTTTTTTAGAACAAATCCTGTAAGAAGTAAAATTATGCAGTAGATTAATATTTTATTTATGCTTTTGAATAAATTAAACTTAAAGAAAATAAAGTCATTTCAGTAAATGAATTTTTATATCGTTTTCTCGTCTACTCAGGGATATTGTGTATAGTTTTAAAAAATAGACATGTTAGGCAGCACTTGCCTTTGTTTTCTTGACAGAGTGAATATGCGGACCATTATAAGGAAGCCCAGGACAAGATCTCAACTTTCCGTAACAAAGTGGAGGAACTTCAGTACCAGAACCGAACTCTGGAAGACCAGAACCAACATCTGGATTGTCAGTTAAAGAATCAGACGGATGCCCTAAAACATTATAAAAAAGTAAGTTAGTATTAATTACAGCAAAACACTACAAAAAGTACCTTGATTAGTCAAAACTAATTACAGCAAAATACTACAAACTTAAGTAAAAACTAATTACAGCAAAATACTACAAAAAAGTAACTCAGTGACAATTACAGTGTCAGAAAGATTTCATTCTGGAAAACAACAGTCCAGATAGTGAAAAGAAAGTCAAGAAGAAATTTTTTAAACAATTCTAATTAGGATAAATTATTTTCACCATCTCTAACAATCACTATAAATGAGTAGAATTTAGAATTGGGCTGAATTTCATTTCTTGTTTATTTCAGGCTCAAGATGAACAAATGGAAATGATGCAGAAAGACAGGAATGCTTATCACAAGGTAAATATGAAATATCTGTATGCTTACTGCCATACAGCTACTGATAATTTTAGGACATATTTAATCTTTGACTCAAAAACAGCTTGGAATTTTACATTCCACAGTTGTTTCCCTTATAAAAGAACTCTCCTTAAACATATGTCCTTGGTAGACATCCATAATTTATATGCTAATGAATTGTTTTAAAAATGTCATAGCATGATAATCAGTTGTATGTGCTTTCTCGTAATACCTGTTTCTTTTCGTTACCTGCAAACAAATTAATGCCTGCATACAAAGAGATTAATTAAAGCAATGTAAACTTCAAAAATACTCATTTGGTGCAAATTCTATATGCAATATTGCAGCTTGTTGATAAGCATGAGAGTTTGGAGAGAGAATTCAATGTGTTGAAGGTAAGGCATTGCTACAGTCCTTCTGGTACCATCAAGTTTTAAATTACATCATATTCTTAAATTTTGGTATTGTGGAGAAAGTTCTATCAATGAATTTCAGATTTAATGGTTATAGTAGCTTTATTCTTAGTAATCAGTCTTTTTTTTTTTTAATTGTAGGAATCCTTCAATGTGACAGAAAACAAACTGTATGATGCTCGATCAGAGGTCGTGGAATTGAACAGGTACAAAACTACAGTAAACACAGTCCATGTACTTGATTATAGTGAGCACAAAACTCTGAAAGCGATTTACTTTGTATATCAGTTTAAACTGTATACAAAAGTTAGGAAAATTCTGATGTACAGTGTAAAGTTTGGATACAAAACCTGCTTTTTTAAATAAAGTGTTTTAGGTGAAGAAAGGGATTGTAAGATATACTATTGATTTGTGTGGGTTTGTTGTTTTGTAGAACTGTATCAAAACTAGAGCTGGAGAACAAGAGACTGGGACGAGAGAACGATAACCTGAGACACAAGCTGACACAGAGTGCCAAGTAAAGTCCTCACACAGTCCCTCTGAGTTTAAAACATTATTTCTCTGTTTGTTAAAAATCAGTTTTCAGTTAAACTGGGTCCAGACTTTCATTAATAAAAAAAAAGAGAATTTGCAGAAAACTTTCATCTGTAGAGTAAAGAGAGAATATTTGTGTAAAATTTTTTAATGTATTTTGAATTTATGCTTTTGGTATAGATGCACAAAGCATTCATGTACAGACAAATTTTTGATATTCAGCAGTTGATTTAAAACTAAAAGTCTCTGTTGTAGTGCCATGTCAATACAGGGACATTTTGATGAATCTTATGGCAGCCCTGGCCGACTTTGTCACCCATCTCCTGACAGAGACGTTAGCCATCGGATACCGTACGGCACGTCAGCGGATGAAACAGAGAACCCAGTCACTCACTCCCGCAGCAGGAGTCAGGAGATTCCTTTACGGAGTATAGCAGATGACAGAGAGGTCAGGTCACAGGGTCGTGATCGCAGCATCAGCTCAGAGAGAAAAATAGAGAGCAGGGTGAGGGAAGATAGCAGGGAACGACGACCAAAAAATACCTGTAACACTTACGCTGAAGTCGAGGAAATGGAGTAAGTATAGAAGACTGAATGTATCTTATTGGTAAAATCAAAATAGATACACAAACTTTGTTTTAGAATTGATAACATGTTGTATAATAAATATTGACTACAGTAGAAAACAAGTGCTAAGTGTATTGTATTGGTAAAGTAAAAATAGATACAAAAACTTTATTTCAGAATTGTAACATGTTAATATATAATAAACATTGATAACAGTAGGTAAACAAGTATTAAAAAAAGCAAGTATTTTGCAACTTTAGAAAGATATTTTCTAGGGATACTGTAAATGTTTAATTTGTATTCTATTACAACTCTAGCAAAATCCCCAAACCAAAGGCTAAATTTCTATATAATATTTTAATGTTCAAAAAACAAATTGCAGAAAATCTCGACAGAGACCCAAATCTGCCCCTGATTCCAGAAGCACCCCAGACAGGAGGGGGAGCCCCGGGGTAGAGCAGACCTCCCCTGTACTGAGGGCGGAGAGAGAGCTGTATAAACTTAGGGAGATCATGAGACAGGCCGACAAAGCCGTGGAGTCTGCTTCTCCTCCGCAGCCAAAACTACAGAAAAAATTCTACGGCAGCGAGTCGAGCCTGTCTGTTAATAGATCTGACTCTGGGTCATCAATCAATAAGTCTGACTCATCAACCAGTCCCAAAATCAGGAAAAATAAATCAGTCGGCACCTCTTCTGTGAGGTCTCAGAAAGTGAGATCATCCAAATCCTCAAGATATCCAGAATCTATTTCCAACACAACACCATCTAAAGCGAAATTCGAGACAAGCCCTGGTGAATTTGACAGTCCGACACGATTTGATATAAGGGTTAAGGAGAGGTCATCTAGCAGTCGACAGCACAGTGATTCTATGCCCACTAGAGATACAGGGTCCAAACCACGACAGAGTCCTGCTCACAAGGATAAACGAAACGGGGAGGTCAGAGGCAGCAAAGGAAGCAGGGACAGAAACTCACAAAAAGCAGAGAAAGGTAGGGTCAAGTAAATGACAACAGATCACTTTATTTCTGTAATATCTTTTGTCACAGCCTGATAATCTGCTTTGATCTTAGACTCGCCTGTTACCAATGGAACTATAGAGAGCACACTGAGTAGAGTGAGGGAGGGGGACTATGTGTCAAGGCCAGAGTGGGAGGATATCTACACATCCATGGCCAAACCAAAGCCAGACGCCAAAGTCACACCCGTGAGGATTTTTTAATTGTAGCTGTTAATAACTGAAAAAAATGATAATGGATAGTTAAAATCTCTGCACAAGATTATTGATCAAAACTTGACACTAATCCTATACATTATTATGACTGTATATACAAATATTAACAAAATTTCGTTGCTATTTTTTGTGTCTCGGTTGCTATGGCAAAACAAAAGTGAAAACCACCTGAATCAGCCACTTTAAATCTTGACTGTGGCTTAATAAAAACTAGAAAAAGCAAACAAACCATTCTCACATTAAAACATGACACCTTGATGTTACGTATACTGTAAAGAAACTGTTTAGAATATTCTAAGTAAGTGGTAACCAAGGGTACATTTGGAATACATTTAAAATGCTGAAATATGCTGAAAAACACTCCGTATTCACTAATTAGGTGTTACATTAAGAAAAACAATGAAAATGTTTGACCTTAAGTAAATAAGTATAAGCAATATTATTCTATAAATAACTTTTATGGTTGCCATGGTAACACAGTGTAACCATGCAAAACCACTAACTAAGATTAGGTTAATGCTACTGTCTTGAGGAAAAACATAAAAATTCAAGACTGGCAAATATGCATCCTTAGGACCTTGCAACACCAAAATTTTAAGAAAAATTGGATATAATTCTACTTTGCAGTGTTACCTGGAAACAAAGAATCTTAAAATGAATTTTTTTCGTTGCTTTAAGTTCAATTAAATTCCCATTTAATCAAGAAACAAATTAAAGGACTCAGCTTGAACAGTACTTATCTTTAGAACTGTTAAGTTGAATATCATTTATTGATAAAATTTGATGAATAAAACAACACTGTGTTGGTAAATGAAGGGAAAATGTTCATTTTCAACTTTATATCAATATTAAACCCTGTGTGCCAACTTCTTGCATTCAAAGATTGGATGATAGTCAACATTAAAAGTCAAGTTAGCTTTTAATAAATATTCATAAAAGTTTTGGAATCTACATTTAATAAAAGTATGGAAAGAAAATATTTTTCAGGTTTTTAAGCATATATTTTCTGCTTATTTCCATAGCAACCTTATTTAAAGAATTAATTGAATTTTTTCAAATGGGAAAACTTGGAGCACACAAACATCTTATAAAATTGATCATAATTGAGAAATGTGCTTTTTTTAAACTAGGATCAGATTTAAACATACAGAGTTTATATTTGTGGCAAGGCTCTCTGTGGTATAAAAACCTTGGCAACCATTGCCACTAAAATGAAATATCTATTTTATTCTTGGTATATGTTTCAAGGCTCTTTTTTTAATTATTTGGTCACATTTCATCCTTTAATTGCTTTTTATTTTTATGTGTATGACTGTATAAAATTAATTTATTTTTTTTTTTTGTATTTTGTTACCATAGTAACGTATGTAATAGTTGATTATACCAAAATGTTGTATCTGCATTTAGAAATTTGACCTTAAACTTTTGGAAACAGTCATTGCCAATTGTTTCTAATGCCGCAAATGTTAAAATGGGGCTTTAATCTTTGTTAAAAAAATTATTTATGAACTTTAAGACAACACATTATAAAACATAGCAACCAATTTTTTGATTTCAACCTAGGGTATCAATGAATTTATCATAGAGAGTTTGGAGAAATTCTGAGACTATGCGTGCCACAGCTCCTATATAAAATTTCAAATCATTACAGAGAATGGCTCTTAATAACTGAAAAAAATGATGAAGGATTATGAAATTATTAATCTTGGTTAAAATCTCTGCTAAGCAAGTATTATTCATTCAAAATGTGTAGTAACACTAACCCTATACATTATTATGATTGTATATACATGAACAGTTAACAATATCATTTATGTTATATTTTTTTGTATTTCCTCTTTTTCAGGTAAAACAAACAGTGAAGAACCACCTGAATACGATATCAGATCTGGAGACTCGATATGATGAATTACAAACCGAGAAAAAAACAGTATGTACATGTATCTCATTCATTAAACCAACCTGGGGTTTAATGTCCATAAAGATGTTTGAGTCTTATATAAATTGAGCCATTATTAAGAATGTGTTAGAATGTTAAGAGCTTGTCAACATGTACAAAACATTATGTATATAATAACAATTTTAAGAAATGGTATGAATCTTGTCAGTTTACTATATTTAAGAATCTTAAATGTTTTTTCGAGGAAACTTTCAGGTTCAATGCTAACTTCTTTACAAACTTCCTCCTAAGTGTACTAATGATCTTCAGGAAGACTGTTAAGTTTATACTTAGTTCTGTATAGACAGCATGTGTTGAATGTTTTGTCATTTTCAGCTTGAATCACAGCTCAGCCGAGTGCCATCTCATGGAAAGGGGAGACAACAAAAGGTGAGTTCTGTAGAATATTGTACAGTAGTATTCAAAGTTCTACATGTAAAAATGGCTTTGCAGCTTACAAGAATTTTTTTCCACCTTAAATGATTGTTAATTTTTTCTTTCAAATTATAATAAACAGTTACACTAATTGCAGAAATTTGTTATTTAAACTGACAAGGTAAAACTTAAGTTGATATTTGTGGCAAGGGAAACAGTTTATATTTAATCAGTGTATTATCAGTCATAAGGCTGCTTGTATAACTTACCGTGGGTTTTTAGTCTGTAGGCAATAACCACACCTTACTGTAATGGATTTAACATTCTAATGATTGAAAAGAGTGTTTTTTCTGTTAGCTACTTTTGTGTGACAATATAGGGCTTAAGTCTAATTCAAGTTTGATGTACTGCAAATTCTGATTCTCAGAAAAAGCGTTCATATAAGAATTTTTAACTGATATTTTCCCAGTTTATTTTTTAATTTTGTTTTCCTTCTTCTCAGGAAACCATTGAAGAGAAGCTGGATGAGGTAGAGAAGGAGCTAGGGTCGGTGCGGATGTCCCTAAAGAGATACCACGTGTTGAAGACGTCTATATAGTCAGAATAGTTCACGGTCCATACGGGTCTTACTGTAGAAATATTGTTAAGCTTGACGATACCTGGAGAGGTAGCAGGTCAGTAAATTGTGAGGAGGAATGGAACTGTCAGTCTCTGACAGGAGTTAAAGGGACAGAACTCAACCTCTGTCCACTAGTACATCTGCACCAAAAGTGTTCCTGTCTGTAAAACCTGAGCCCAGTATAAAACGTCTGGTGATCTAGAATTCAGTATACACAAGGGACTTTTATGTATTCACCTGTTTTAGATATGCTATGGTTATTTATGTTTGCTGGTGTAGGGGAAATCATTTGTTGAAGAAATTTGTTATTGTCTTGTAGGTAAAACTTGGTTGTTAAAATTTATGATTTTATAAGTAAAATTTACTAATGATAAGTGTTTCATTAATGGGTAAAATTGGGAACCCAAATGAGATTTTACAAAATGAAACCATCAAAGAAAAAAACTCTAAAAATGAGTGTGTATCTCAGATTCCAGTTCCTGTCATTAGTGGACTCTGATCCCTAAAGAGTGGATGTAATATTGCCAGTTGAAGCTATATAATATCATTACTATTTTTTTTTATAGTATGGAGCTCTTGTATTTGATTGTACATGTATCAACATGACACCAAAAAAGGAGAGACAATTGTATGATATGCAGTATTATGTTATTTTGCCTATTATTGTGAGGTGTACAAGTATTCAGTTTCTTTTTATAGGTTATTTAGTCTAGTCCAGATTTGTTATTTATTTTATTTTATTGTCACAGTTTAAAGAATGATGGATACACATGTGCTGTATTATCAATAGCCCTTGTAGTAGATAAGATTTATTTTGATGCACATTTAATGTTGAAATGGTTGCTATTTGATTGATATTTAAAACTTCATTTTTTTAATATAAGAAAAATATTACACACCTATTTACACCTATATAGAAGGACAAAAGCAAGTTTATTGTTCTGCAAGACACTTTTTCCTGATAAACTATAAACTTGCTTTGTCCACATAGTCAGCAGACATGCTGAGATCAGAAAATTTCCAAGATGAAACATGAAAATGCAGTGCTGCCAGTGAATGGTTAAGTTATAATTTCATCATAAAGAAACTTTTCAATGGTAGAAGCTGTTTAGAAAAAAGTACAAGTATTGTCAGTCCCTTTTTTATTTAGAGAAAAATACACAAAGGTATAAATACAATTTCTTTTGATTTAAACATCTCAAATTCAATATGCAAAAGAATCCATCTTAAATGTTTTTCAAGCAATAAAATTTTTGAAAGTTCCTTATTTTTTTTTTTTTTAATGAAAGCTCAAATGAACTTTTCAAACAACTTAGAAGAAATGGTGAAATTGCTTTATTTGGGATTAAAATTTATTGTTATTATTTAAAGACATAAAATGAATTATTATATTGAATTTAGTATGAACGTTGCCTCCGTATGTAGTTTAGCATGTATTTTATCTCTTCTATGTATGTCACCATTGTCCTAGAACATATGCTATTTTTTGATATTTATACACCACTTGCTTCTTTAAAATCATTCCAAACTGTCCGTCCATCCATACTGTATGATGATATCAATCAGATATATTCCTTATCTGCACATAATAGAGAAGAAGCTAGTATACACAGGAAATCAGATCTTTGTTAATTCATTGTGAACAAACAGATTATATATTCTAAATGGCACCAAATATTTAATCACATCTCTGTAATTTATGTATCATTTTCTAGAAATAAAAAGTCACATGGTCTTGGTTTTAAATATTGCATCATTTTAGACAACTCAAATTAGTTTTCATAAAAGCTAATGACATATAAAAAGGAAAAATATCAGACACACACAAACAAATTAAAAACCTTAGTTTAGAAAATTTAGTTCTGTATTTGAGAAGTGGAGTAAATCAGATTTGGATACTTATTAAAACTCTAAGGATCTGTTTGAAAATTTGAAATCGCAAATTTTTATCAAATCAATAATATCAAAACACGAATTTTCAGCCTTTTGTTCAACAAAAGTTCGGGCTAATTGACATAACTGACAGCTGCTGAAATTTTTATACCCCCGGGTAAATAACGAACGGTATTTAACGACGTTCGATCCTGATATTTAAAGTCTTAAACTTTTTTTGCCAAGTATATTTTTAGTTTCTACATACATAGCTTAATTAAAATTCAAATCAAAAAATGGGGGTCAATATGCTTCTTTTGGCGCTACAGTATATTTAATATGACCTTTTTGCACTGAAAATTGTGTCTTAATTAAAAATTTACATCTTCGACGTTTTACCTGCAATATTTTTATCAAATTAAAGCACAAAACAAAATGAACTCTAAGTCTGTTTAAAAAAAGGCACTTAATAAAATTGTGACTGAGAAAAAGTTTCAAATTGCTTCATATAATCAATTATTTGACCTTTCTGCTCTAATAAAATGTGATTTTTCTGGCATTGAAAATTTGATAAGCAAGAAAATTATTTTAAAGTCTTAAACTTTTTCCGATTTTAAGCAAATAGTTCAAATATATCTTGAATATTTAGAAAAGTACATCAAAAGTGGGGGTATATGATGTAAATTTTCAGATATTACTAAAAAAGTGTCAATTTTACGTTAAAATTAGCTAAATTTTTTCCCGGATTTTCAGAATATAGGCCTATATACTATATTTGTCACACTTTGTTGATAGAATTCATAAGAAATAATTTAATAGAAATTTCAGAACCAGCATAACACATTTCATCATAAAAAACAGCTTTGTGTGCAACCAGCATGGAAAAATAGGAATCCAAAATGAACAGTACTTGTATAGTTTAAAAGGGGAAAACTGATCATTTTCGTCTAAAAAACCTTCCGCCACAAAATATAGTCCCTAGTTTAATTCTACTTGAATAGAATTTAATCGCGGTTTTTTCATTGAATATAGTTCAATTTGCATTGTAGAATTCAGATTTAATGTTAGAACTTTAAAATGATGCAAAATTTTATAAATACAGGACATGACCAAAATCCACTCAAAAGCTCAGGATCGAACGTCCTTAAGCTCAAAAGTCCATTACATGTAAACAATACAAATCAGGAGCAGAGCAAACATGGACCTCTAAAACATCAGAGGGTGGGATCAGGTGCAATGGAGAAGTGAGCATCCCCTGCTGACCGATCACACCTGCCGTGTGCCCCTTGTCATGATCAGGAAATAACAGAAAAATCCGTCGTCAATTCAGTGTATAAATAATGGCTTAACAATTATAGTATGAAAAACGTCAGTCAGCATTTGACTTTATGATAGATTGTACATGAATTTGCTGACACAGACTGACAGTCATTGTATCGACCATAGAACTTCTGAAAAGACGACTTTAAACAATTAAAATGGAACCCGTAAATTTACTTACCTTGTAATTGGTCATTTGTAAAATTAATTTGTAAAATAAACTCTGATGTTACACACAAGTACATTGACTCAGAAAGTTGATATTAAAAAGATGGTAGAGTTTCTGATTGACAATATGTATTCGGTTTTTGGAGATCAAATCTTCCAACAAACTGTCAGAATTCTAGTTGGTACCAATATGGCCCGTTATAAATTTACTGGAGTCTTCAACTCGACATTAAGATATATCAACAACATATTATCAATTAACAATAGTTACATGTCGATATATCACAGTGGACTTGTGATTCTGACACATCTGTAACATATCTTGATATTTTACTTTTAAAAGACATAAATGGTAATATATGAACAAAAATTTGGGATAAACATGATGACTTCAAATTTGGTATCGTCTGCGGTAGCCCAATCTTTCATTATCTGTTTAACCGATTCTGAAAAAGATCACATGGCGGGTGTGACCAATTGACAGAGGATGCTTACTTATCCATGGCACCTGATCCCACCTCTGATGTTTTTAGAGGTCCCTGTTTGCTAAGCTCCGAATTTGTGTTGTTCCATTAGACTTTTGAGCTTGAATACTGTTCGTTTTACATGTTTCATCTATATGAATATTAAAAAATCCAAATAGTGTTAAAGAATGGAGGTGTACAAGGCGAGGACAATCGGCCCCCGTTCTGAGAAAAGCCATTTCTCAATTCTAAAAGTTCATGAAAGCTGTATTTATATGGTGAATATCATCTTTTACACATTTAATTCTGTATTTTATTGTTTTGATATTTTATGAATAATTTATTTTTCACTCACGTTTTTAAGATATGTGAAAACAAACAAAGACAAGAGGCCCAAGGGCCTTGAATCGCTCTTCTGATAAATTGTACAATCTATCACTTCTATTAGAAGCCTCCAACTCTATTAGTATCATAAGACCCAAAATGCATTAACTTACAAAGTTTGATAATATTTAGCCAGTTAAGACTGAAGATATTATAATATAATTATAAAATACCATAAGTAGGTCACAGTGACCTACCATTTGTTTGAAATTTTCTGAGAACTCAAGATACAGTAATTGACAAAGACTGATGATTCTAATTAAAGAAGTACCTGAGATATTCAAAAGTAGGTCACCATGACCTACTTTTTGGTCAACATTCTCTGAAAACCCAAGATGCATAATCTGACAAAGTTTGATGATTCTAAGCCAATTAGTACCAGAGATAATTAAATATAGCCATCAAATGTCAAAAGTAGGTCACGGTGACCTACTTTTTGACGTTATCCAAAAACCCAAGATGCCTAAACTGACAAAATTTGATGATTCTAAGCCAATAAGTACCTGATATTCAAAAGTAGGTCACCGTGACCTACTTCTTGTTGGACATTCAATGAAACCCTAAGATGCCTCAACTGACAAAGTTTGATGATTCCAAGCCAATAAGTACCAGATATAATTAAATATAGCCATAAAATTTCAAAAGTAGGTCACAGTGACCTACCCGGTACTTTTTGGTTGACGTTCTCCGAAAACCCAAGGTGCCTAAACTGACAAAGTTTGATGATTCTAAGCTAATACGTACCTGAGATATTCAAAAGTAGGTCAACGTGACCTACTTTTTGGTCAACATTCTCCGAAAACCCAAGATGCCTCAACTGACAAAGTTTGATGATTCTTAGCCAATAAGTGCCTGAGATACTTAAATATAGCCATAAAATGTCAAAAGTAGGTCACTGTGACCTACTTTTAGGTCGACAATCTCCGAAAACCCAAGATGCCTAAACTGACAAAGTTTGATGATTTTAGGTCAATAAGTACCAGAGATACTTAATTATAGCAACAAAATGTCAATAGTAGGTCACCATGACCTACTTTTTGGGTCACTTTGAAAACCCAAGATGCATCAGCAAACAAAATTAAACCAGTTAGTATCACAGATACTTAAATAAAGCCATAAAATGTCAAAAGTAGGTCACCATGACCTACTTTTTGGTCGTCACTCTCCGAAAACCAAATATGCATTGACTCACAAAGTTTTAGGATTCTAAGCCAATAAATACCTAAGATACTTAAATATAGCCATAAAATGTCGAAAGTAGGTCATTGTGACCTACATTTAGGTCGACATTTTTCAAAGACCCAAGATGCATCTACTGACCAAGTTTGATGATCGTAGGTCTGAAGGTAATCAAAATATGCGTTTTAAACAATTTGAAAACAAATGTCAACAAAATTCAAAAAGTAGGTCACAGTGACCTACTTTTTCATAAATATGTTTTAAGGTCCCAAGATGCATCAAAGTAAAAGATTTCAGTGTCTGAAATAATGGGATTTAATGTTTTTAAAAGGATAAGTCATAAAGTTCAAAAAGTAGGTCACGGTGACCTACTTTTAAGTTGACATTGTTCGAGGACCCAAGATGCATCAACTGACAAAGTTTGATAATCATAGGCCTTAAAGTGTCCAAAATATGCCTTCAAATCAATTTGAAAACAAATCCCGGCAAAATTTAAAAGGTAGGTCGCCGTGACCTACTTTTGAGTTAACATGATGTGAAGTCATAAGATGCATCAACTTACAAGATTTGATGATCCTAGTCCTTATAGTAAGCAAAATATACACGTTTTTATTAATTGTAAATTTAGGTCAACTTTGAAGTGACCTTGAGACCACACCCTTTGCCCCAGGGTAATTCCCCGTGCAAATTTTAATCTTCGACATATCCTGATCCTTGTATGTAAGTTTGGTGAAAATGTGCCAGGTGGTTATGGAGAAGAAGATTTTTTAGCAACCAGTACTTTTGGTTTTGTTTTCCTGATTATCTCCCCTTGTTTAAGGGTCCCAACCCTTATTTTAGTACAAATGGTAGCCCTTGGGCCAAGGATACCCTGTGACAAATTTGGTACTGATTGGCCAAGGGGTTCTTGAGTTATGACCCATATTCTAAAAAGTTTACGAACACCGCACAAATGGCCATAGCATTAGCTCTTTGAGCCTTTGGCTCAGAAGAGCTAAAAAAGCTTCACGTATGATTCGAACAGTCTCCATAGCGGAGGGGACCACGTTAACCACTACGCTACGAAGTACATGTGTTATCGATAACTGTCTGTGTGATTTAAATAAACGGGTTTGTTGAAGCGTACATTTTTTCCAGAAATGTTCGATTTTCATAAAGAATGGGTTAAGATTCTATTTTTTTGGACAAATGAAATAGATTTCACATTTGTGTTTTAAGCATTAACGAAGAATGGAGACTTGACCCATTCATGTTCAAAATTTAGTTTTTATGTCACTAAAAAACCCATTTTCCACTAAATATGCTGTCAACTTTGAAAAAAAGATTGTCAAATAAAAAGCCGTTCAGTAAAAT